GGGTCCAGGATGCTAACCACGGTCGACTACATGGGAGTCCAGCGACATACCATTATGCTAATTACTGCTCCCAATAAAATAATTTTTATAAGTAAAGTTAAATTTAAAAATAATTCTTTTAAGAATATAATAATAATAAATGGAATTAAATAAATAAATAACTCTTGGGGACCAGCAGTTAGCGTAATGGCTATGTCACTGGACTCCCATGTAGTCGACCACGGTTCGCATCCTGGACCCGGTGGCATAAAACTCACGCCGGGCGTGTGTGCGTGCATGCCCAAGGTCCCGAGAGGAGAATGGAGGAGAAGGGATTGTTGCGTGGCCATCCCCCCCTGGGGGGTGATTTCTCACTTTCTGTCTCTCTGTCTTTCTTTGTCTGTTTGGCAAGCGCACGCACCCTATAGCAAAAAAAACTCTCCAAAAAAATAAATAAATAACTCTTAAAAAAAAAAAAACTTAAAAGAAAGAAAGGTAACCACCTTTATGCTCTGTAAATTCCTGTTATTCTGGGGCCAGCAGGTGTATGGTGATTGGGGCGCTGAACTCCCACATGGCCAACCACATCCTGGACCTGGCAGCTTGCTTTCTTACTCCCACGCCCCTCTGGTGAGCATGTGTACCGTATAGCAAATTTGTAAAAATGTTAATAATAAATAAAATTTTAATTTAAAAAATCCCTATTATCCCAAGCACACACAACTGCAATTCAGGAATAAAGCAGAAAATTTCAGGAAATGTTAACGACATTTCCGAGGTCTCACTGCATAGCAGAGAAAACCAAGACATGTCTGAGGATGGTAAAGGTCTTGGAGGAGAGACATCGTAATTAGGCCCAGATAACCAAGGAAAATGTGGAGATGTCCAAAGAAGTGTTGGGTGGGGACCAGCAGCTGGCATAATGGCTATGTTGCTGGACTCCCATGTAGTCGATTGCTGTTCGAGTCTCGAACCCAGTGGCTTATACTCATGCTGGGCGCATGTGCGTGCGTGCCCAAGATCCCAAGAGGAGAATGGAGGAGAAGAGATTGTGGCATAGCCATCCCTCCTGGGGGGGTGATTTCTCGCTCTCTGTCTGTCTCTCTGTCTCTCTTTGTCTTTCTGGCAAGCGCACATGCCCTATAGCAAAAGAAGAAAAAAAAAAAAACAACCTCTCCGAAGAAGTGTTGGATGAACTAGGGGGTGTGGAGAAGGAAGCTGGGGTCCCAAGGCTTTGCGGACAGAGAGGGGATTCTGCTGTAATCAAGTGGATGCGGGTGAGTTGTTGATCATTTCTCTGTAGCAGGAGGTATTTGTCAGGATTCTTGGAGTTGTGAGTGATAGGAACCCAATTCAACCTGGGAAAACAAAACAGGGGATTTACTGGCCTGTGTAATTGAAGAGTTCAGGGACTTAGGGCATGGCTGCAGCCCATTGTTAGATGATGTCATCAGAACGGTCTCTTCGGTTTCTTACTCTTCTTTTCCTTTTTAGAGAGGTTTTTGCTATAGGGCATCCATGCTTGCCAGAGAGAAAGAAAGTGAGAAATCACCCTCCAGGGGGGATAGCCACACTGCAATCCCTTCTTCTCCAGTCTCCTCTCAGGATTTTGAGATTTTGAGCATGCATGCACACATACCTTGCGAGAGGTTTAAGCTGCCAGGTCGGGACTCGAACCACAGTCGACTATGTGGGAGTCCAGTGACGTAACCATTATGCCACTGTGTAACCATTACTCCATCTGCTGGTCCCTCTTTGTTTTCTTTGGCTTCATTCCCTGAAAGCATTGCAGCTCCAGCTTCACGTCCCACCAGCCTACAATTTCCAGTGAAGAGAACTTTGGTTTTCCATTTTCCAACTTCAGGTTTCAGTAGTGGTTCTAGATCTCGTTTTCATTGGCCGCACTGGGTTACATGTCTGAGCAGTCCCTCTGCCTCTGATTGTCCGGGCTAGGATCACTAGCACATCTGGGGCTTGAGGTTGAGGTCTGTCTGGTCCACCCCAGCTTGGTGGACTGAGCCATGCAGTGTGGTGGTCCCTCAAAGGAAAAGAGGACTGCTTCCAGAAGCCAGCGGAGTGGGTGCAGCTCACCTTCTCCCATATTCTGTGTTACAGAGGGGTGGGAGGGGGCTGGGAAACCCACCAGCGCCCACTCCAACACTGCCTTGAACTTGGAAGCTTGACAGCTGTCCTCTAGGGACCGTCTGCTCAACTCTGGCCTCAAAGGAACTAAGGAAGAAAACTGCCCTCTTCCTCAGCAACGCGGACCAGCGGGAGGAAGACAGGCTGCAGGAGGAACCCCAGAACATTTATTTCCCCTTCTCCCACTTCCCTCTCGCAGAAGAGGCTTGAGAAGGGAAATTCCACCAGCATTCAGACCAAAACAAAAAACCCAACCAAATTTTTTTTTTTTTCGGGTTGAGCAGATCTTGGGAGATTACCCAGTTCAGTAACCTTCTCTTTCCTTATTTTTCATATTTCATAAGAAGATTTTTTAGGGGCCGGCAGGTGGCGTGGCGGTTAAGAGCACTGGATTCCCACATGGCCGACCACGGTCCGAGTGCCGGACCTGGAGGCTTTCTTTCTGGCTTTCCCTTTCTCTCTCTCTCTGGTCAAAATTAAAATAAATAAATAAATAAAAAGATAATAACAACAAATGGAGGGAACCAGCAATTAGCATAATGGCTATGTCGCTGGACTCCCACGTAGTCGACCGCGGTTCGCATCCCAGACCCGGTGGCTTAAATCTCACGCCGGGCGCGTGTGCGTTCATGCCCAAGATCCTGAGAGGAGAATGGAGAAGGGATGGCGGCGTGACCATCCCCCCTGGGGGGTGATTTCTCGCTTTCTGTTTCTATGTCTCTCTCTCTCTGTCTGGTGAGCGCACGTGCCCTATAGCGAAAATCTCTCCAAAAGAAAAAAAGGAATTAAATAAATAAATGAATATATTTTAAAAAGATTTTTTAATTGAATTTTAATTACATAAGTAATTCCAAATTCCCTTTTAAACATTTTTGCTACAGGGACCGACAGGTGGCATGCTGGTTAAGGGCACTGGCCTGCCACATGGCTGACCACAGTGAATTCCAGAGCTAGTGATTTGCTGTCTCACTTTCTCTCTCTCTCTGTCCCTCTTTGGTCAAATTAAAATAAACAATTAATTAAGTTAAATAAAATAATTCTGGGGCTGGAAGGTTGCATGGTAGGTTAACAGTTAGAATCCCTCATGGTCAACCACGGTTCAAGTCCCGGACCTGGCGTCTTGCT